GGACAGAGTTCTGTACGGGACCTGAAAATTATAAATAAAATTGTAGTACCAAGAGTTCCAGTGGTACCAAATCAAAATGGTACCCACTGAATCCAAGTGGTTCACAGTAGTAGACTTGATTTACTTCTTTTTGTTTTAACATTCATGGAGACAAAGACTACCTGCATTTGTTAGCTTTTACTTAAAAAATCAACAATGTACTTGGGTAATAATCCCGCAGGAAAAGCAGATGCTACTTCGCACTGTTCACAAGTTTTACACTGGGGCTAGGACACAGCAATTTCCCAGAAATTCTATCTGGACTCAATATGTAGGTGATTTACTTCTTTGTTCCTCATCAAACAAGGACTCAGAAATGGACTCAATGTGTATAGTACAATAATTGGCTTATTGGTGCCTGAAGACTTGTCCAGATAAACTCTAATTCTCATAAGAAGTGGTGCATTATCTAGGTCGTGACTTATTTGCAAAAAAAAAAAAAAAAGACTTTCTGTTTTCAGAAAAAACAAATATTATACAAAATTATCCCAGGTCTGTGACTAAAAGGCAACTCAGAGGATTCCTTGGATTTGCAGTATATTGTAGATCCTGGGTCCATGATTTTTCTCTTTATTATCCTCTCTACTCCATGAGATAAGCAACAGCAACACTTAGGAACCTCTTCTTTGGGAAACAAACCATGAGAAGGTCCCCCTGGAACATAAATGGGCATTGAGCAGTCCTCCCGTGTTAGAGCTCCCCAATTATTCCAAACCCTTTTGTTGTATATGAATGACACAATCAGGCTGTAGAAGTCCTTATTAGAAAATGCTGAGGGAAAAATGCATAGCTTCACAGTTTGAGAAGTTAAAGATCAGATACAGATACCTCACCAGATTATAAAGGCACAATCAATTGATCTTTTTAGTCTAATCTGGGCTTTGGCTTCACAGTCTTTCTCAAACCCTTGGTGTTATCTCCCCATTAGTTACATTGATAAAATTCCTGTGCATTGTGTTCTCTTAAGAGTCGTAAATGATTGTCAGCATTCACTGACTCTTAAGATGAACTCTACAAGGCCCTGAATAACAAAAACTACATGAATTTGAATATATGGAAGAATCCTTTAAATTCTGCTTTGTGATCTTTAGAATGATCATGAAAAGAAAAACGTAGTAATGAGAGAAATGCTTAAGACCTGGTCATAGTCTGAGGTCATCTGAATGACCAAAAGGGAGGGGAGACTGTCAAAATATAATAAAAAATGAAGGCCACAGTTTCAGTATAACCAAGAACGAACAACCAACCAACCATCATAACAGAAAATCAAGCTATCTTGATTTCTCTGAAATGCAAGCTCTCAACAAATAAACTTAAGCTTTTCTTCCTTGTCAGAAGGACATAGACAAATAAGCTTATACAGCTGTACTTAGACAAATAAGCTTATACAGCTGTACTTACTCTAAAATGAATTTAGGTTTTTAATAGCCAGTAACAATAGAGATCAATGTACTTCCTTATTTATGCTTTATAAATTGTACTGTAACCTTAAGAGCCAAACTCTTTTGGGTTTGAAGTCTCCCAGTTCACCAGCTGTTCTTCTGAATGCACAGTAAATTTTTACCTTTCTTTTTGACTTGGTCTGATTTATTGTGATAAGGCCTTCCCTATACTTTGGGCTTTTCACAGCATGATAATCTCAGGGTAGTAGTGCTTTTTACCTGGTGGCTGTCTTTAAAGAGAGGCTTACAAGGGAAAGGAAGTGACATTTTGGGGGGGTCTGTACCTGGAAGCTTGCACACTGCTCACTTTAGCAATATTCAGAGGTCAGGGATGTAACAGAGCTCATCCAGCTCAAGGAGAAGAAACTTAAGACCCTCCTTCCTGCCCTCAACACACCAAATGAAGAGAATGTAAAAGCATTTGCAGCCATATTCAATTCAGCAGGCAGGGAAAGGTCAATTGGAATAGAAAGATCAGAAAAAGCTGTACAGGGAAATTAGTAGTAGATGAGCTGTTTTTAAAGGATATAAAGCTTTGAAAAAGTGGAGTGGGGATGAGGCCAAAAAAATAACAGATCTCTAAATATAAAACAGTAACAACAGGGAAAAGTCTTCCAAAATGCTCAGCAAAACAGGAGTTCTGTTTCTTTCTCAGATTGTTTTGCTCCAACAACAAAATTGACAGTGGGAAATGGACTCAGCTTAGGCAAGTCACTTTTTCTCTTCATAAACAGAGTAATTCAACTGAAAAGATAATTTTTCTTTAAATGAGGTCATCTCATTTGCAGAAGGGGGAATTTGAGGTTAAAGATTTTATAAGACTAATTGGGAAAGGTCAGTCAGAGTTCAGTTTGTCCTGCAAATTGGCCAATTTAAAAAATTCTCCCAAGGTACAGGGAAATGTTTGCAGTTAGCATTGAGACACAGGGCAGCAAGATGGGCATGATTCAGTAGCCACTGATCTGGTTATTTGGGTTTAGCAAGCCTAGCCAAGGTCTTGGTATGGTCACAGTATGTTTTAGTCCTTTAGGATGTCATAAGGCTTTGTTCAGATAAGTTTAATCATTATAAGTATAAATTTCCTTATAAAAAGGATGCTTTCCCTAGATTTGTAGTTCACAGATAAGCAGCTCTCCACATTCATTATTGTATATGTGTGTGTGCTTGTGCATACACAGGAGCCCCCTTACTGCACATGCAGTGTTTTTTTTTTTTTTTTGTACTGAGAATTTTTACCACTGAACTACATCTCCAGCCCTTTTTATTTTTTATTTTGTGACAGAGACTCACTAAGGTGCTTATGGCCTATCCAAGTTGCTCAGACTGGCCTTAAACTTGTGATTCTTCCTGATTCTCTGGGATTAGAGGTATGTGCCACCATGCCCAGTCATGCAATCTATTTTGAACAAAGTGCCTGGTACTTGGTAGATATTTAATATCACTGGTGAATTGTATCATTCTTATGCTCTCAATACTTATTTGAATAATCTATTATTTTCCAAAGTTTGACCCATATAAGCTGCAAACAGGAGTATTTTAGATATACACACTAATTAAAATTAAACATCCCTCTCTGGAGTAAGCATATCTTTCTTGTTTAGCAGTTCAACCTGACAATCTGTATCTAATGTTATCTTTCATTTTTTGGTGCATGCTGATTTGCAATAAGGAAAGGAAGAAGGAGCAAAACTCATGAGAGATACTTTTTTTTTTTAAAGGATCAAACTTTTACGTTTTTTTTTTTTTTTTAAAGAGAGAGAGACAGAGAAAGAGAGAGAATTTTTTAATATTTATTTTTTAGTTTTCGGCAGACACAACATCTTTGTTTGTATGTGGTGCTGAGGATCGAACCCGGGCCGCACGCATTCCAGGCAAGTGTGCTACCGCTTGAGTAGCCCCATGAGAGATACTTTAAAAAATATATCTTTTGTAGATTAGGAATGGAACCATCATGGCATTCATGATACTACTCTTTGGTATTTCTCCAAAAGAATTAAAGTCAACATACTATAGAGATACTTGCATACCCATGTTTATAGCAGTCAAGTTATGGAAGCAGCCTAAGTGTCTGTGAGTGGAGGGATGGATAAAGAAAACATGATATATATATATATATATATATATATATATATATATATATATATATGCGCGCAATGGACTTATACTCAATTATAAAGAATGAAATTATGTCATTTGTAGAAAAATGAATTATCTGGAGAGTATCTTGTTAACAGAAATAAGCCATATTTACAAAGCTAAGTAAATAAGCCACGCTCAGAAAGTCTCTTATATGTGGAAGCTAGGGAGAGGGGAAAAAATATAAGGGAGATCAGTAAAATAAAGGAAAGAGAAGGGGAGGGAAAGGGGAGATAATGGGAAATGGGGAATGAAATTGACCAAAAGATATTCTGTATATATGCACGAAAATGACATAATTAATCTCACTATTATGTATAATTATAATGTACCTGTAAAAAATATCTTCTGTGTGGAGAAGTCCTGTAGTCTCAGCTATTCCAGAGGCTGAGGCCAAAGAATCGTTGGGGTTCCAGGGTTGGTTAACAGTGTAGGCAACAAAAGGAGATCCGTTTTTAAGAAGGAAAAAAAAAAGTTTTTTAGTTGTCTTATATTTGGTGGAAGCATAAAAAAATTTCCAGCTATTGGCCTTGATGGATAAGGGATGGCATTATGTTAAATGGTGTTCAGTGTATGAGTTTGACCAAGTTCAACGTCTTTGTGCATTTTACACAGTATGTCCTTTACGTAGTTGTTTCTTAGGCTCTTTTTGGCGCCTCAAAAACTGTTAGGCTAAGCAAACAAAGGGAAAATAAAAAGATACACTATAGGGCCTTGGGGGCTCTGAAGCCTTATTCCGGAAAGACCCAGTTATGAGACTGGAGGGAAGGGTGTGCGTAACTGGTAGGAAGAGCTAAAGCAAATCCAGGGTGTAGGGCCGCTAGACAGCGCCTTCCACCAGCGGAAAAAATAAATCCCCTTAATAAGATAGCTCGAAGATGCCTGAGGGAGCAAAAGTACTCTCTATTCTCTTGTCTGTCCCATCAAAGTAAATAAGCGAACCCTGCCTCTGATGCACGCAAAGAATAGTTTGCAGGGAGAGTTTCAACCTATCCCCGAAGTGATGCGCTCGCCATCACCTGCCCAGCATCTACAGCAAGCTCCCTCCCCAGCCTCGTAGAGCTGAGAAGGAGGAGGCCTGAGAGGATGCGGAGCGGAGGTGGCACTGCACATCCGGGAGCGCCAGCAGGCGGCTGCGGGCTGCATAATTCATGGGGGGCTGGGCGCAGCACTGGGCCAGCCTCGGGTACGGAGAGAGAGTCTCCGGGGAGGAAGGCAGGGCGGCTGGGCCCCTCCCACTCAGCCTTTTCTCGCGTGTCCTGACCTGGGACTGGCAGTGAGCCCCGAGCCATCAGCGACTGTGCGCCGGGTCTTGGGACACCGACGGCGGCGAGCTAAGGAAAAAGCAGCGTCCACGAGGACCAGGGCTAGCCCGCTGGCCCCATGCGAGCGTTCACGGGCCTGCGGGGGCCCCTGGCGCCCCGAGCGTCCTCTGCCTGGCCGCTTCTCCTTGTGTGCCTAATAGCTGGGACGCCCTGGAGCTTGGCGGACAGCGATCCCCCAGGTGTGATGGGTGCAGGGGCCGGGATGGGGAGGGCTCGGGGCGCGCCTGGAAGGGGCGCAGAGAGCTCGAGTCCTCGCAGGGGGAGGGCATCGCGGGCGCGCTGGGGCGGCGGTGGTGGGGAGCAGCGCGCGGATGCTGGCGAAGGCGGGCTGTGGGGCGGCGGCGGCGGCCTCCCATTGGCTGGGTGTGCGTTACCTAAGCTGAACCTGGGAACTGGAGAGGCTCTGGCTTGTCTGCTTGGTGGAGTGAATCTGGAACGAGTGGCGCCGGGCAAGTCAGAATCGTCGGGGGTGTTGGTATTTGGGCGGGTTCGAGATTTTTTTCTTTGGAAGAGGGCGATAGCATGTGTGGGTGGGTGCGGGCACAAGTCAGTGACTTTGCTTCTGCTCTTGCGGCGTGAGTTTTGAAATCCACATTCCCCAAGGCCAACTCCTTTTACTTGAATTGAGAGTAAGACTCAGATATCACCTTTCCTCCTGGCAGGTATTGGCTTTGAGGATGTTTTGCAGAGCAAAGTGAAAAAAAAAACCAACCAACCAACCAAGAAAACAAAGCCCTCTCAATCTACAGGATAATTTGTGTGTATACTTTAGTCTTTGAAAACAATACCCCTATCCCGCCCCCTGTGGTGGTTGTGTTGCTTAAGACAGCTTTGCCATTTCAGCTTCACCTGTTTATAGTTACTCTTTTTTTTTTCCCCATCTAACCTGGTTTCCTGTGCTAGTAAATCTCTTAAGCGTTAGCATGCAGCAAGGACAGAAGAATACCACTGCCCCTTAAGTGGTAAAGATTGCCCACGAGGGACATGGTTCTGTGCGCTAAGTTCAACCTTTCACAGTAATTTATTTTTATGAAGCTATAGCCTGTAATTTTTTTTAAACATACCATGAAGAAGGAAAGATAATCCAAGACAATTCTTTGTTTTATACATGCCCTCCAAAAGGCCTAGTTGTTAACAACTTGGATAAAATCATTTGGGTTGCTTTAATTTTTAAGTTTCTTTGCCTCTTCTTCTCTTTTCCATCATATCACCTAAAAATAACTGTCCCGATTCAACCCCCCCCCCCCCCTTATCCCTAGTTTTTCTATCTCCCATTCATCCAACATTCTTTTTCAGAATACGGTGGTTTTCTGCCTGCCTACTTTCCTTCCTCGCTCTTTCTCCCCTCCCCCTCCCACCGGTTTCCAGTTCTGGGGATGGAACCTTAGGCCTCAGTCATGCTGAGTAGAAGCTCTACCACTGAGCCATACCCTTCAGCTCCAGAACTGTGTAGTTTTGAGAATCAATTAGTTCTTGGTTAGTACTTAAAGTATGGTTTCCTTGGCTCTATGTCAGAATTACCAGTGCTTTAAAATTACTGATATCTGGTTCCTGCCTGTAGAAATGGATTAATTTGGCCTGAGATTCGGCCTATACATAAGTAGTTTTAAAACTCCTCTTGTAATTCTATGTAGTTTAAAACTACTGCTTTAAAATGATATGACCTAGAGAGTGCACTATTGATACTCTGTTGACATCAGGTTTAAGCAAATATCTGGAGCAGGTTCCAAAGGGAAGGAAGCTAGGAAACAAATGGAAGTAGAATAAATGAAGGTGGAAACAAAAGGGATGAATGGGGAGAGAAATATCTATGTATGTATGTAAGCCCTGTTCTTTTAATTCCATGTAAAGCTAAAATTACAAAATCATATATCATATACAAGGCAAGAAATAAGCATCCAAATTTAAACTAGAATTAAAAATGATCAGGCAACCAAAACTTGCTTTCTAGACTCTATATAGCTCTCCATGAGATTGTTTCTTCTTTGCTAAAGTGTACTGTAAAGTTTACTGGATACTTTTTTTTAAAAAAAATAATATCTTTATTTTATTTTTATGTGGTGCTGAGGATCGAACCCAGTGCCTTACTCATGCCAGGCGAGTACACTACCAGTTGAGCCACATCCTAAGCCCCTGGATATTTTTTAATGTAGATGCTTTGAACTGCTTGGAGATAGGTGATCTGTTAAACTAAGACTTTGCAGAGTGGGTTTTTTTTTTTTTTTTTTTTTAAAGGCAGGTCTCTCTGTTGCCAAGTCTGATCTCCAAATGGTGACCTCAAGTGATCTTTCCACTTCAGCCTTGGGAGTAGTTGGAACTACAGACAGGGGCCACTCTGCCCAGTCTTCCAGCAAATTTGGATAATAAACATGGTTATAAGTTATAATGTTTACTATGTGACAGTTGTGTGCCAGCTGTGCAACTTATAGCCCCAATGAGTTAGCTTTATTATTCCCGGCTTTCAAATGAGGAAATTGGGGCTTAGGTTAAGTAATTGCCCAAGTACACATATTTAGTAAAGCAGTGTAGCTAGAAATTTAGTATTGGTCAATCCAATTCCAGAGCTTGTTTTCTTATACACAATGCTGAGTTGTCTCCTTGAGGTAATTCGATATGCCTATGAACATTTGGAGCCACTTGACAATACAGTCAGTCTCAGTGTTTGGTATGAGCTATAAGACTTGTTGATAGAGTCCCTAAAGAATTAGGCACAGGGACTCACCTTGACTCTGTGAAGGCTTTTTTTTTTTTTTTTTTTTTTTTTAAATTTATATAAGAAATTTAAAGTGTCTTTGTGAAAGAGAAATATGAATAGGAATATTTCAACATCATTATCATTACTATTATAGGAAAAAATTGGATAAATGGTTCATGTTTATTTTTTGAGAAATGTTTGCAGTGAAGTCATTTGAAATTGGCATTTTAATTTACAGAGGACATGGTTTGTGTGCTTCCTTGATCAACTTTGTTCCCTACTAGACTATCCCACAAAGAGTGCCCAGAATAAATAGTTGTTGAAATGACTATTTTTCAAGTGCCCACATTTTCCTGGCATTGTGTTACCTATATTTCAGGAGAAAGTGCTAGCAGTTTGTATCTTTAAAGGCATTTAAACTGTTTAAAGGGATAGATTTACTGTAAGCCTATCTTTAATAGGGATATTTCTGATACATCAAAAATTTTAACCTAAATTTATCATCATCATTAAAATGAATTACATAAGCATTTATTAAGACCTAGTTCAACTGACTCACTTCCTAGTGTTCTATCCCCGCTCTCTCCTTTCTCTCTCCTCTTGCCCTTAATGGATAGCCATTGGGAGGGGAAGAACAGGGAAGCATCCTCACGTGGGGAGTGGAGCTAAAAGGCATCCAGATCCTGGTAGGGATGGCATCCAGGTAGGAGAGCAACCCAGGTGTAGTGTTCAAGCCTTATCATAGTGAAGAGGGTGCTTCTTCCTAGTGCAGGGTCTCAAGAGTTGAGCAGGGTGACAAGGGCTGTCATGCCAGGGCAGCTAGACATCAGTATCTGATCCCCATCAAGGCATGGAGGTAAGGCATACAGGAGAGACAGACCAATTCAGGAGGCAGAAGCAACCTGAGTGAGTGAGGAACATGGGGACAGGTGTGGCAGCAGCAGTGGGAGATTAGTTACATACAGGGGAACTGATCAACTAAGTAAATCTATCAAGGATATTAGGACCCAGGTTTTCCACTAGAGAAGAAGGAAATGAAGATATGTGTGTGGCGGGGAGTGGGTGGGAGGGGCGAGTAGAATGCTGTGGTTTTGGATTGCAATTGACAGTATCCATGTGTGTATGTATGTGTAAATGTCCTTATAATATATATGATATATGTATAAGTAATATACACACATATGTATATGTGTTGTATGTATGTGTATATGAGTATGCTTGCATGTATTTTTGGCTCTGTTTCCCGAGATGAAGCAGTGAATAAGAATACTTAACACCCTGGTTTTGGATTAAAGTACCATTCTTTACTAAGAGTAAGCAGGGCTTCTTGGAGAAATGGTTGATTTCAGGATTAGGGTGAGAAAGGCAATAAGCCTGGAACATCTTATGTCAGAAAACAGTTAAGTGCTCACAGAATGGTAAACCATGTCAAAAGAATGAAAGAGTCACTGCAAAGGGGCTCCCTCTGGACAATATGGAACAAACTGAGTATCAAGGTAGATAATGATACTAATGGGTTATAAACCACTGAATAATATGGGAAATCTTGAGCACATACTGTTATGAATTAGTCAATGAAAAGTTTTATGAGGTACAAAGTATTATATAGCTACCAAGTAATTTCCCTAATAATTCTTATAGATTCACAGGGGATAAAAGAAAAAATAGAAAAGACTGCAAGCACGACCTTAATCAAAGCTCGATCTTAATCAAAGGTCAAACCAAAAACCATCAATACAGGTGGAAAAAAATTGTGTGCTCTAATAGGGTGTACAAGGAAAAGAACACAGTATTAGCTCAGTGATATTTATGCCAAAGGTGTCTACCCTGTATTTGTCCATATTATAGTAGAACTCTCCTGGGATTTTCATGAGTCAAGGTCATCAAAGTCAGGAGGAGACTGGAGCTCTTCCAGAATGAAGGAGGAGAGATATGACAGCTAATGGGAGCATGTGATACTGAGCTGGACCTTTTGCTAAAAAGTACTTTGTAGGGAGACTTATCTAGAGTGCCGAGATGATCTGGTAATGCATGAATGTTAGTCCCCAGATCTTGAGACTATATTGGGATGATGTTGGGGTGTTTCTTTTGTATGTGGTCTGCAATGTCATTGTCATACGGTTCAGTGAAAAAAGTTGTGTTCTGAAATCCTTCTGTTATTTGAGATTGAAGAGAAAAATAATTAGTTCATTTTTTTTGGGGGGGGGAGGGAGGGAAGCTTCGTTTAAGATAGGCATTCAACTACAATAAAACAATTTAGTAATTTTGTTCTTCAGTTCTATTTCCCAAGGAATTATATGTCCTTAAAGAGGAATAGAGTATATATGTTGAGGGTGGTTGTCTTAGATTATAATCTTCTGAAGCTAATTTTGTATAGCTGGCCATACGTTTCACATTATAAAGTGAATATTAGGAATAAACAACCTAGGACACATGTTCCTAAATAGAAGGAAAAAAAAAACATTATAACATTTTGTTAAAAATAAACTGTACTTCTAAGACATCATCAGTATTCAAGGATAACAAAATATGTTAGGAATGTTAGTATAGAAATAATAGATGTTATATTTAAAAATAGTGTTATTCTTTTCATTGAAAATAAGCTTTTTCTTGCATTCTTAAAGTTATTGAGGTTATCATAACTATTATATCCCTAATCCCCAAACTGAATCTTTTTATAGCCTTATAGTTACATAGTTTTGAGAATCTGAAAGGATTTTGTTTGATCTTGAAGCCCAAAGTGCTTTTGTGACTTAGCCAAGAGCAATGAGCTAGCTAATGGCTGTAGCTGGTTTCCTGGTTTGCATTTTAGGGCTCCATCCAACATGTGGTTTTTCTTCTTAAAAGGCCCTCAAAATAGGCCCCTGGTGGGAGGTGGTGGTTGTTGGGGAAGGGTGGCAAGAAATGTTCATGCTTTAAAATATTTATACTTAAACTAAGTAGAACAGGACTAACCACAGTGTCACAGGCCTTTTGAAAAATCAAGATTGAGGGTATGTGTGTTCAGAATCAAGGTTTCTCAACTTTGGGTCACTGACATTCTGGACTGGATAATTCTTTGTTGTAGGGGACTGTTGTTGTAGACTGTTTTGTAAGGCTGTATAAGAGTAAACATTGCTCTTGTCATTAGGGTTTTTTTCTTTTAACTTGCTTGTAAATGGCTTTCTTGCCCAGTAGTTTCCTAATATTATATAAAAACTATTCATTCCTTATCTGGGCTGTTATCTCTCTCTGACTTATAAGGGCTGACTTATAAATGGCCCCATCAGGATAACTTGTATATGTTTCTTGACACACCTCTTTTCTTGACAAAAATCCCACTGGAGAATGATGCCCAGGACCCAAAGTAGCCTTATTCTCTCCCTTCTTTTCTTTCTATTATTATAGTTATAGACAAGGGCTAGGACTATTTCATGCAGTTCTAAATATATTGTTTATAGGCAGTATTTTTTTTTTTTTTGTTAATTAGGTGTTTTAAAATTGTCCTGGCTTAAATGGCTTTTTACCATTGGTCATGGGCTCTCATGGTTATATACAATATTGTTCCTATGGAAAAAAAAATTCTGATTTCTAAACCTTTGTTTTATGTAAAGTATATATGATTGATTCCTAAATTGTACTGCTTTTATAATTGGGTTGCATATTTACAATGCTAAGTATTAGAATGTTAAAATGAGAAATTATTAAAATAATTTCAATTTTGTATATTGATAGCAATTGGCATATAGGTGAAAATTTTAAAAAATTCTATTTTTTTTTTAATAATAATCTATGCTTTCTTTTTCTTTTTTCTTTTGTGTTGTTAGGGATGGAACCCAAGACCTTGCACATGCTAGGCAAGTGCTATTACCACTGAGCTATATACTCCCAGTCCCAACTTCGACTGTTTCATAGATGAAGTCCATACTCTTCCCTTTGGTCCTTCCCAATTTGATTCAATTAAATGAAGCCCCAAAATTAAATTGGTAAAAATGTTACCTTAATATTTTGGGTAGATAATGACACAATTATTTATTTGAAAGTGTTAATAGCATAAATCATAAGCCCCTCCAGCAATTTTAAAAGATAATATGTGAAACACATCTAAGTGTTGTCCATTTTGCTCTTTGACATAAAGTAATAATAGGTGAAAATTGGGATGTTACTCAATTCTTTGATGTAATACTCTCATGTCCCAGCTCCTGTTGAAGGACAAAAAGAAATCTTCTAATTTCTGGAATAACTATTAGATGTTAATCTTTTTTTAAAAATTTTTATAAGTTGTTGATGGACTTTTATTTTTAATTTTTTTTTTTATTTGTGTGCAGTGCTAAGAATCAAACCCAGTGCCTCATGTATACTAGGCAATTGCTCTACCACTGAGCCACAACCCTAGCCCTAGATGTTACTCTTTTATGTTGGCATTTTGGCCACTATCTGTAAAAGAGTGCCAGGTGGAAAACTTCCAGTGAGGATTAAGAAAGGGATGATTATGATAACTTAAAGAATGTGCACCATGATCTTGGCTCCATCTCTCAGTGTTTACACAACTTTTCCAATCCTCCTTTTTTTCTCCCTCCCTTTTATTTTTCCCCTATGAGATGAGGTTTATAGTGGAAAGAGAACATCAAAGCACTGAGCTGGATGTATCACATTTTGAAACCCCAAGTAGTAGGTAACTGGCAGAACTTGGATTGGAACACAAAATTCCCGCCTCTCCATGTTACACGTCTTTATGGGACTTAGCCCAATCCTCTCAGGGAAATATTATAATTGGGTTGCACATTTACAATTAGGGTTTTTTTCTTGTAACTTGCTTGTAACTGCCTGAATCTCCTGCCAGTTTTCTTTATATACCAGTTAGCTGAGTCACTCTCCTGCAAGCTGTCCTCCTACTGAAAGCAATAAGGTTTATGTTCTCACTCTTTTGATCAAAAAGTGTCTAAACAAAGAACTTCTCACTTTTACTATTCTAACAGCTCTTGCCCTGATCATGTCGGGTGTGCAGATTGCCTCTTAAAAGGAAAGCAGAAATCATATTGGTTATATGTGTGTTTTTTTGTACTTGGGTATTGTTCAGTGGAAACTGGAACCTGGTGAGGACTGATGTTTTTAAAGAGAATGTGAAGTTGGGGTAAGTGGTTCCAGGTTTGTGGATGTGTGATTTTACTTCTAATATATGGACTGGAAATTTAAAGTTGGCAAAACAGCTAGCACATTCTGGAACTATCCCTGAAGCTTTCTTTTTCTTTCCTCTCCTATTCCTTCGACTGCTGTCAGCTTAGATTTTGCCCAGGCTCAGCTTAGATTCCTTTTCTCTGCTCCCTAGAAGGTAGACCCTAGATGGGTTCTTCCCTAACAGGTCCTGGAGATGAGTAAAAGGAAGGGAGCTCCAGCCTTGGCTGATCTCTTTGGCCTCACCTTCACCTTCATCCCACTGCCAGACTCAGGCTTCTCACTGTCCAGCTTAGAGGTCAGCATGTGTGAAACACACAGGCTGGTGATAGTGAATTAGTGTGACTCTGAAATTTTAATGACTCAATCACAAATTGTGGCCCTGTCAGCTACCGTTATGAATGAGGTACCAAACAGGAACCTCTTGACAGAAGAACCCATCTAGGATCTACATTCCAACAAGCAGAAAAAAAGGGATCTAACCTTAGCTTGGGCAAAATCTAAGTTTACTCTATTTCTTACTCCTCATCATCATTAAACATGTGTCAGGTGCTTTATATGCTCACTTATTTATATGAAATAGAAATAAGAAAGACATAAATCATTTAAAAATATTTTTAGTTGTAGATGGGCACAATACCTTTATTTTGTTTATTTAGTTGTTTTTTTTTTTAATGTGGTGCTGGGGAATGAACTCATTATCTTGCGCATGCAAGGCAAGTGCTGTACCACTGAGCCACAATCCCAGCCACCAGAAATCACTTTTTAAGCATATGTCATTCTCTTATTGTTACTGAGAGTATGAACAACAACAACAACAAATGATGTTTGATGATCTCAAAAGGGGTTTGGGCTTGTTTCAGGATGAGGAGTGTGTTAATAACCTTCACCATTGCATCCTGTTCCATAGTAGGATAGGCCAAGAAAGGAGGTTTCCCTAGCAAGGAAGCAGATACCAAAACTTTGTTTTATAAACTTCACAGATTGATAATATACAGAATAGCTCTTTTCTTCCTACCCATGAGTGAGTGGTATCTGCCTTGATTTTCCTGAGGTATTTTTTTCTTTAAAACAACCTCTAAATGAGCTATGTCCTGGAATGGAAAGAAAAAAACAAAACCCAGAATCTTCATTAAGAAGAGAATATTAATGGGAGCCCTTTTAGCAAGCTATCCCCATGCCTTTGCCCCATGTTGCTTTTGGAAGTGGGTAGGAGAGAGAATATGAACGTGAATGAATAAATATTAGGTGTGGGTGGAGAAGAGGTTTTCCATCCCTGGGAGTCAAATGAGAAACTCAGGACATATTTTTCTATAAAATCACTGTCAAAGGACAGGATGACTTAAATATGTTATTAAAGATTATAAGAAAGTGCATTTCAGCCTTCAAAGCTGTTTTTGAAGTGATTAAATCTTTAAACAGCTTATTGGAGAATTAGGTTCTGTAGGTACATGTTTTTATTAGGCAGTGTTTTAAGCCATGTGTAAAATTGAAGTAAAAAAAGGTGATATACTTTGATAACATTTTTCATACCTTTAGGAAAAGGAAAAGACTGGAAATCTAATCTTGCATTAGAAATAACTTTCTGAGTGTTTTTAAAAAGTGCAATAAAAAAAGGCTCAGGTTTAATTTAAATTGAATGAAGATTTCAGAATGCAGCCAAGTTGAGAAGCCTTGTTTTCTTCTCTGACTTGTTTAGAGTTTGTTGGAGTTTTGCTAGGGTGAGGTCTACTACTCAAAGAAGCAAGAGGCTGTGGAAGAAGGAGGAGGGGCAGAGGGGGAGGCTTTGAAGAGAGAGTGTGGTAAAAATGGAAACTTTGTTTCTTTCATGAAAATTTTCAAACCCAGTGACAGAGGAAAGGGAAGTGGGTTGCTAAAGGGCATGCTACACTGTAACCATAGCTGGAAAACAATGTATATCTCACATGCAGCCATTTTGTCCTCTGCCTCTAATGCCCAAAGTTTTTATTTTGTTTATTTTTTCTTGCCCTTTGTTATAGTCCCTTCATCACTCTTTGTTCTCTCATCTCTCTTTGCCTCATTCTTTTCTTTTTTGGTGCTGGGGATTGAACCCAGGTGTGCTTTGTTTTTGAGCTATATTTCTAATTCTGCTTTAATTTATTATTATTATTATTATTTGAGACAGTGCCTCCTAAGTTGCTGAGGCTGGCCTCAAACTTGTGATCCTCCTGCCTCACCCTCAGTATTATAGGCATGTGCCACCATGTCCTGCTTGTTTTGCCTCATTCCGTCATTTCCTTTTCTGTTACTATTATCTAATTCTTCAGTGTTTTCAATTCATTTATGTTTTTAAAGGGATCTGTAATTGTAGAATAAGAAAATGGAGGTATTTATCAAAGAAAACAGCTGTCTGAGTAAATACCCGGTACATTTAGGTAAGAAACAGAAAAAAAAAAATCAGAAATTTGGTCACATTTAATAGCCTAATATAATCCTGAAAAAAATGTTATTTATCCATAATAGTGTACAATGGCATTTTAGCTGTTACAAACTGACTTTCAGATAGTCATTTAGTCTTGATGAGATGTCTGATCCCATGTTTTTTCTCTTACAGATTCAGCTTTTACAAATCTTGTTGGAGAAGAAATGATGGCAAAATACTCTAACCTGTCCTTGGAGATTCATAGCATATCACTGACAGGTAAACATATCATGTTTCAAATACTACAATGCCAACAAATTTTGTTTTTTTTAACATCATTTAACTAAGCCAGTGTTCTCTGACTCATCAAGTTCTAATCCCTATTCCTGGCTTGGTGGGAGAAGTGTACATGTAGCCCGCACAAGTCCACTACCCTGTGGGTGACACAAGGAGGGCATCGTGCTTTGGCTTCAGGGAGGTGGAGGCTGTTCCAGACCTGCTTGGTCTGAGAAAGGCTTTTTGAAAGAGGGTCACCTGGGGGAAGGGGAGGATTAATTGAGGTTTGCAGATTATCTTATGCTTTCATTAGTTCCTGCTGGTATATCCTTTAGAACCATGCTACACTGAGGGGAGAACTCATCTGTCTACCGGAAACCATTTAGCCAGAGTAACTAATGATGGTCTGAGATAAGTCACTGACAGAGCTGTAGGAAAACCAGTAAAGAATCCCCAAGCCAGACTCAGCTCTGCTTTTTCTGCTTGCTCTTTCACAGCTTTGGATTCCAGGACCTCAAAAGTAATTGGAGAGTTTTTAAAAGTAGTAACAATGGTCTGCTTTAGTAACAACTGTCTTATAAAATAGTACAATTTGAATTTGAAATATTTAAAACCTGTTTATTAAATCAATAACCAATATTTTCTACTCTTATGTCCAGTTTATAATGGTTTCCTCCATGTGTGAAATCTTTCTCTACTTGTGTTTCATGTGATTAGAAGGGGTCATATCAATGTTGGGTAGAACATTTTTATAACCTTGCAGTTCTTTTGGTCTCCAAATGTACCCCTTCTGATATTTGGAATTTATTCTTTTAAAAAATAACTACAATATATCTGTGTGGTTACTTGTTGCTTTACTTTTTTCAAGTTCTGGTTGTTGGTTACCTCCTTAAGATGAGGTGTTTCCATAAGAGAGATTCATATGAAGATGTAAGTTTGCAAATTCTTTTGCCAGTCTGGCAGTGTGGGCAGCAGGTATCCTTCACTTATTGGAATAGCTAGTCGTATAGAAGAGCAAGAAATGGCCTTTTAAATTGATACCAGGCTGGTTATTTACTTGACCTGTTTGGAGGATTTAAAATCTAGCAACTCTTTTATTCTAAGAATGTAATTAAAACCAGTCTTCTTACTGTTACAAAGAGAAAACGTCAGTGTGTCGTTTCTTCTCCTCATGGACTCTTGAACTTCAGCTTGCCCCCAGTCTGAGCAAGCACTGAGATGCAGAACATCCTGAGAACTGGTGACACCGCCTGATTGTGCCATCTGTGTACACACATTTGTTTGCTCAATTTCCCTCAATGTTCCTGCTGGTTTACTTGTCTGTCCCGATAAAGGAATGCCTCTGTTTGATTTTTGAGACACTTGAAAGTCTTAAGTTTGGAGCTTTTCGCTATTGCACAGTCTTTTTAAGATTAAGACTTTAAAAAAGGATCTGATTTTTTTTTTTTTTCTGACAAAAGAAAAGGTCTGACATAAGTTCTGTAACACTGGCCCTGTGCTTTGTAAATTGAATGGCTGTGTTTCCATGTAGGGCTGTGGGTCGGCTTGCCTTCTCATGAAAGTTTGGTTTTAGGAGTTACGTTTACTAGAGCACAGAATTTAAATTTGAAGGCATGCTGATGATTATTGGGAGTCAAGAATTTTCTTCGGGTTTCATTTAAGTTTTATTATGATTCTTGATGGTTCACATTAAGGACTTTAAATCATTTGGGTTTTTAATCTACTTCATGAATGGAGTATGTTCATATTGTCATATCATTGTTTGTATTAATTTTGTCATTGCTATTGTTTATCTATAAACAGTACTTTTAATATTTTTTATGTTGTTACTTATTTTTTCCTTCCCTTTGGCTATTTTAGAAGTGGTCTTACTGTTGGGTTAAAGTGTTTCTTATAGAAAGATCAACCAATTTTGGACCAGAATGACCATCTTGGCTATTCTTCTTCACACATTTACTTAGTGAGAATGGGAAACATTTGGGCCCTGTGCCTGGAAGAATGAAAAACATGACCCTTGACTTACAAAAGGTCTACTTGTTTACTTACTTAATATTTTTAAAAATGTTGCTAATTATTTCCTTTATAAACTCACAATGTTGACTGTGTACTATGTACATATTCCTAAATATAACTTAATTAATTCTCCTAGTAGCTCTCTGAGGTGAGCATGATTATTATCTATAATTTGCAGATAAGAAAAGAGAAGCATAAAGAGATGAAGTCAATTGACCAAGATCACAGGTCCCAAGTTGGGGATCAGTTCTGAATCCAAACAGCCTAGTGCTGGAGCCTGTGCTGTTAACCATTGTGCTTTGCAGCCTCTACCTCTACCTCTACCTCTACCTCTACCTCTACCTCTACCTCTACTGGTCACCCTTTTATTTTCATGTGAAACCCCTGTGTCCCACCTTTCTTTTACTTTATCCCTCTCTAGCTTCCACATACTAGAGGGGGAAAAATACAACCCTTAACTTTCTGCATTTGGCTTATTTCGCTGACATAAGGCTCTCAGGTTCCATCCATTTTCCTGCAAATGACATAAAAAAAATTAATTCTTCTTTATGGCTGAATGAGACTCCATTGTATCACTGAGCTTTGAAACAGATCTTTTGATAATGGACTGTTTTTATATCACAGTTCTAAGTTTTCCAATGTTAATATTTGTGGACTTTTTTTTTTTTTTCCCTTTGCTGTGCTGGGAATTGAACCCAGGTCCCTGCACACGCTGAGCAAATGCTGTACCACTGAGCTATATCCTCTGATCTCCATTGTCAGTATTCAGAAGTCGTTTATTTTATTATCACAATTAGAATGTTTCTGTATTGTTACTTTCAGTGTGTGTGTATGTTTTTCCCCCTTTGCACATTGTAGTGTTTAGAGTCTCAATAGTTCGTTATAGTTTAACCAATGTGATTAAAATCAAAACATCAGCTGGCAGTTTTCTTGAGCAGCCTGTTGATGTTGCCATCATTTGTCACCCTGGTAACCCAATGGCACATTGTATTTACCATGCTGATGTGAGCAGCTAGCCTGGCGAGGAAAGAGGGGACGAGATGGGTTAAGCAGGTGTTGAAACTACAGGTAAGCAAATTAAGTACAATGTAAGGTTTGGGAAGATCGGTCACACTGAGGAAAGATAGCCATGTTTTCTAGTCCCAGGCAGGTGAGAGTTCTGGGTCAGGAGCACTCAGGCTTTACAGTAGGAGGATTGAATCGATGAAAAGAAGCGAGTATTCCTTTCATTTATTTGGCTGTCCAGACTCTTGCTACCTAGAAGATTCTAGAATGACTCAAATGATGTGTGACTATTCATTATATTTCTCAGAGGCAGTCATCAAACCTGATGTAAAGACTTCATGTACAGAGAAGACAAAATATGAGTCCTGATGTTCCCGGGGAGCGAAAGAGAAGATGGAGAGGGCTTCACAGTAGCAGTACAAGTAGCACAGCTGCGAGTGGCTTTTGTTCTCCACCAGAGAACTGCTTCCAGTAGCAGAAATGATGACGTTTGGGCTGGGTGATTCTTTATCCTAGGGGGCGGTTTGGAGCACTGTAGGATGTTTTTAACAGCATCCTGGCTTTTACCTATTAGATAGGAAATCAGAAGTCCCCTGGAAGACAAAATCATCCCATTTGCCCTCTCTGCTCTACATGTAAAAGAGGTAGATCTGGTTTTTGAGAGAGCTATTTTAATGAAATACTTGAAGCAGACTACTTATGAAGATAGAAGGTTTGTTTAACTCACAATTTGGATTTTCAAAGTGCAGACCGCATGGCACAGGATCTTGGGAAGCCTTGTGGTGGATGGGGTAGAGAATGTGGGAGGCACAGGGATGTGGGTGGTGCCAGGCTTGCTCCTTTTATAACACCTCTTTCACCAGAACTCAGGGTTCCCCAGAGAGGTACCTGATCCCTTGGTGGGGCCCTCAGTGACCTAAGGACCTTTCACTCTTAAAGGTTCCAACATCTCAATGCTGCTGTTTCATGGCCAAGCCTCTAGTACATGAATTTTGGGAGAACCTCTCACATCTAAACCACAGTACCCGGCAACTGTTCCCCATCCCTCCACCATGGGAGGACATATGATTTAATAATCACAGACACTTTATTAACACCAAAAAGTCAGATGTTGTTGCTCAGAGGCCCAAGACAGCCCAAGTGGGACAGCAAACCTGATCTATTATAATTCCATCTCATCCCTCCTTTCTGCTTCTTCTGATCAAATGCTCCCTATTTTAGAGAGTTAAGCCAAAACCCACATCTCTGATAAGGCTCAGGTAGATAAGAGCTACGTGTTTCTCTGATGTTTGTATATATATATATATATATATTTTTTAATGAACTTTTAATTATGTAAGTAAAATAGAATTTATTTAAAAAAACATTAAAACATTATTTCCAGCATTCTAATAAATTTAAAGAATCTGAAAACCCTCCTGCCACATCTAAGCATGTCTTCAGTACAGTAAACCTTATCTTAAATATACAGCCAAGGACAAATGAAAGTAAAGACAATTTCTACTGACCAAAATTGGTAATCAGAGTGTCAAGCCTGGGACTTGATGTTGTGTTGGGTTTCCTTGTGTCTGTGGCCAAGGTACTTAAGTTTTAAGAGCCACAGAAATATAAAAACCCAGCCTTGAATCTATGCCAGGAGAGGAGAGTAGGAACTGGAAAACCCCAGAAAGCTGATCCTTCCCTGGCTACAAACAGTGGAAGGTTTGACCTGGCATCAGCTGACAGCTGGGTGGGGCATCAGCTGACAGCACAAGGTGATGACAAGTTGGTTTCTTTGTTTTGCCTTTTTCCGCATTAAAAACAAAAGGTTCCCATTACTGTCAATTAAAAATACACCCTAAACCCCCCAAAGATTCCTCTGATTATTCAAAGATATGGGCCTGCTCTGGAGGACGTTTAGATTGCACATTTATATTACTTGCATTACAAGCTGACAAATAACAGAAAACGATCCCTGGCAGGTGCTTTTTCCACAGGAAAACCAT